ATAATATTAGTGGTCAATATATATATATATATATATATATATATATATATATATATATATATATATATATATAAGTTCCAAGAGGATAGAATCCAGGTAGAACTCAATGTCCAGGACAGAGTAATAATATAATAAAAAAAGTTCAAACACTAATATTCTACGGTTATAATTTATTACATTCGAATCGTAATCACGATCCAATTCATCAGACCTACAAATTCAAAAAGAAATCGGAAAATATAATTCCGGGTATAAAAACAAAATTTTAGTGAGGGTGTATATGAGATTGGGAAACAAGTGTGAGAGGGAAATGTGAAAGCTCTGAATATATATATACACACACATTCACACATATACACATATATATATATATATATGAAATACGCACATCCATATATATATATATAGACACACCTATCTAAACAAATATAGAACATATATCTATCCATCCATCTATACACACACACACACACACACATATATATATATATATATATATATATATATATATATATATATATATATACATACACATATATATAGGTAAAAAAAATACACATCCATCCATAAACAAATATATAAACGTTAATAGACAAAATTTTATCTAAAACATTCACTATATAAAATTTTTAGGAAGACACTTGTGTAAGTAATATAGAGAAAATTATATCTTCCCACAATTGTAAAATACTTAAGAACTACCATAGTAGTGAATCTCGAGCTAGCGGCCCTACCTGCAATTGTAGGAGTAGAGCTAATTGTCCAGTCGGGGGAAATGTATGTATGAGCATGTAATATATGAAGCAACAATCTTCCCCGGAGAAAATATCAATCAGAAAAGATACGTAGGTATATCCGCTGGTAAATGGAAACAGCGTCTATACAACCATAGACGCTCTTTTAAATATCAGTACCTTAAAAATCAAACTTCCTTATCCAAACACTACTGGGATCTGGTGGATAAGGGACTAACCTCGCATTTTGAATGGAGATTCTTATCAAGAGCGAGAACCCCTAATAACTTTCGCAATCGGTGTTAAAGATAAAAATCAAGATTGGTTGCTGAATCTTCGTAGTTTCCAAATGTAGACATAAAAAACGCTTTAAAACATAAACACGATTAACGCTTTAAAACATAAACACGATTTTATAAAGTGTTATTACATATAACAGTTCTATCTTGGATCACAAACATCGGACATGACATTTAAATGAAATGAAACTTATGATTATCTATATATATCATTGTCTGTGTTTATGTGGTGCTCTTTATATTTTTTTGATCATTTAATTTGTGTTAGCAAACTTTATTCATGTGTTGGTATATGTGTATGTGAGTATGTAGGTAAAATGTTTTCGTAAATAACTGATATACAAAAATTGATAGTTTTTTTATATTTTTATATCCCTATGTATATATGGAGACTTAAGAAATATATACGCGTTAATCACTCAGTGGGTTTTTAATATTATTAACGTTTTCTTCCTCAGTAGTTTTTTTTAAGTACGATTAGTTTAATTCTACCCATCTATTTTTATATGTTAAATGTATGTATGGATGAATGTGTGTTTTTTACCTTTTACTTTTTAATTTATATATATATATATATATATATATATATATATATATATATATGTGTGTGTGTGTGTGTGTGTGTGTGTGTATATATATATATATATATATATATATATATATATATATATATATAAGGCATGATGTGTGTGTATGTGTAACGAATGCACGGCCGCAGTTTTCCACGGATTTGCACCAAAATTTACATGCACATGCTCCAAGTTAGCGGGAAGCCCAAGACCGACTTTGCATTTCCCAACTCCCATCGATAGTGGAAATAATCGATTTTTTCATGCTTCTGCGGCAGTTTTCATGTAGTTTGCGACTATTTTCTACTGGCCAGAGTGAGAGCCAATAACTGGCTGCCACGAATAGGCAGGAAGATTCTATTGGCTAGCGTGAGAGCCAACAGCTGACTGACACGAATGTTAACTAGCAAGCTAGCATGCAAAAAAATCGATAGCTGCATTCGTCACCAGTGGGAAAAATTTAAATTTGCATGGCACTTTACTCCAATTGGCTCATTTGCTTGCTTAAATTCAACGTTGATTCTGATTCCGCAGGACTGGTGTGAAAAAGTATTTGTTGTTAACATACTTTTTTCATTCGGTTTTTCCAATTACTAGTCCTTTTTTAAAAGCTGATCGTTTGGTGTTCATTTTGTTTAGTTCTTTTTTTCGTAACAGATTTAATGTTTAGTATAGTGCTTAGAAAAATTCGCAGGCAAGAAGTAAGGCATGTAGCAACATCAGCACAGCAAAGGGGACTCCTTTAAATGCAAGGAAGGTCAAAAATATTTTAAGCCAAGTGATAACGATTGCTGTATAAGTCGTACGATTTTTTAATCAAGCACGGGCAACGCCGGGCCATGTTGCTAGTCTCTCTCTCTCTCTCTCTCTATATATATATATATATATATATATATATATATATGTGTGTGTGTGTAGATAGATAGATAGATAGATAGATAGATAGATAGATAGATTGTATATTTGTTTAGATGAGTGTGTGTATGTATATGTATGGATGTGTGTAAGGAATCGCATACTCCAGCCGTTGCAGCAGTGGTGTTTCCTGGGCAAACTAACCAGATCGAACACGACCCTCTCCATGCTGGTTTGAATTCAAAGTTTTACCTTCTCTTAGAATTGTTGCCACCCGAGGCTATAGGAAACAATCTGTCCTGATATTTTACTCAGAATAAGAAGATATGGTTTCATGCCTTTCTCAAGAGTATTAGCACGTAAGTGAATGTAAATGACATCGACTGTAATTCGAACTCGGTACACTGATTCATCAACCCGAGCCGCTCTCCATTACTCGACCGTGAAATTAGTTTAGACAAGATGCGTTTAAATAAAGTTAAATATTAATCAATTATAGATGGCCGTGTCCTCTGACTTTCCCTTCTCTTATAAAGTCCGGAATGTCTGATTTTGAAGAGTACAGAATCAGAGATAGAGAACAAAGACGTCAGAAAAAGGTAAGATCGAGAGGGTTTCACCTCCCAACCTGGCTCAGCCCCCAACATCCCATATCACAATTGCAACAGATTTTTCAGGGTCTAGATAAGAATCATTAGTCATCCTCGATCCTCGAACCCACCCAGCTCCACAGTGATTCGATGTCAAAGTCGTCTACGAATGCAGAAGACCAGACACACACACACACACACACACACACACACACACACACACACATATATATATATATATATATATATATATATATATATATATATATATATATATATATCACGTCACGTTCAGTGATTTATAAATATAAGTGTAGTTGCGGACTCGACTACATAGGGAGGACGTCCCGACGTTTGGATCTGAGAAGAAAACAACATCCGGATGAATCCGGATGCCAGGAAAAGCCAACTAATCAATTCTTCTGTCTCTTCTATTGCAGATCATGTAATAAATAGCAGGAAATGTGTTTTTGATTTAAGTGCGGACCGCTTCTCCATTTTATCTAGGTCCCACTCCTCATATCACCTCAAGGTTCTGGAGTCCTTGTATATCAGATCCCGTGGGTCTTTCCCCTGTAAACAGAGGGAATGCTTACTGAGTCTGGACTCTAGCTTTCTTGAAATTCATTTTTTCCTCCATTCGTTATCATTAATATTAATTAAATTTACACATTTATTTTTTATATCCCAGAAATGAACTTCATAAGGCTGGGACGAAACCGGTTGTTCTTTTTTAGCTATTTTAAAATGCCATATAAATTTTGCTTGTTCCTAGCTATCGTTAAATTTTGTACCATAAAAACATATATAATGAATTTCCAAGCGTAGCTTAGATGTGGCACAAGCCCGAAAGCAGGGGACACCCAGTGACGCTCGAACTCACTATTACGTCGTAATTGCCCTAACGAGACAAGCTTGCTAGCCATTACACCCCGTCGAGGTTCCCAATGATTTTCTAAGCGTAGCTTAGATGTGGCACAAGGCCAAAAGTGTGGAGCACCCATTTAGAACCGAACGCACTATAAAGCTCTAATGTCTCTAGCGAAACATGTTTCCTAACCATTACACCACCTTGAAGTGCAACACACACACACACACACACACACACACATATATATATATATATATATATATATATATATATATATATATATATATATATATATATAAAGAGAGAGAGAGAGATGTCAATAACCCACACGAAATATGTACAAGTAAGGATGACTGAATAATGAATGCTAGGAATTTGTAGGAGCCAACTATTTTATCACCATTTTTATGGTTATTTATTAAATAAGAGGAATCACTTCGACAATTAACCCACTTTTCTCCGGACAGAAATAACGATAAGTAAATCGAAGAATTGTGTAATCAGAACAAAATTACATATACATAATAAACTGAAGCCAGTCGGACAAACAAACAACCATCGAAATTATTGTCAGTGGTTGGTGAGATCATCATGCTGGACACATCGTCGCAGAGGCGAACAGGAACGATAAAGAGAAAGGAATAATCTTACGGAGATACTCATTCTATGTAAGTGATGCAATTTTGGAAGCAATCAAGAATTTACAACAGTGGGAGCAGAAAAATAATTGCCATCAAATCTTGGAAGAAGAGATTGAGCCCCTGAATTTCTTGAAAATTGATATTAGAAATACTAGATTTATTTTAGGCTTGATTAGTGTCCACAGTGGAAAAAAGTTCTTAGATCAACTATAATTCCTGTTTTAGATAGTGTTATGGTAATTTACCCATGCAAGCATGGAGTCTCCCAGCTATAAATAAGAGCAGGTACTGCCTTTTAGAGGGGGAAGTTTCCAGCAGTCAGCTCTGATAGTTGGACCAAATATCCTTGCTGTAATACTCTGGTTTATATATTTTTGTTGTAATGTTTCTGTTAATATATTTCTTTAACTCAATTCCTCACTTGCGTCTTTATTTCTGACCCTAAGAAGGCCACAACAGATAGATAGATAGATAGATAGATAGATAGATAGATAGATAGATAGATACGAAAGTTTGGACATACATATAGACAGCTGAATATGAAAAGAAATAGTATGACAAGTCATAGATATGAAAAGGCATGGATAAGAACAATGGTAATAAATAGAGATAGATAGATAGATAGATAGATAGATAGATAGATAGAAATGGAAAATATGTGCTCTGTAATCGAAGAATAAGATTGATCTTCCGATTAAAATGGCACACCTGGAAAGGTTGCATGTCAACGCCAATTTGATTATTGCCTTCAGCTCAGTGTATTTTCATCTTCTCCATATTGTCAGTGGTTTGGTAACTAACCTTATCCGATTAAATGAAACAGATTTGGCCACTCTGAATTTGACCCATTCTGTTCCGATCTTCCGAGCCCAGCCACTTTCACAATATCTTCAATGAGAATATTATATCGAAAAAATATAGTACACAGTTGAAGGACATAATCAAAAATAGAATTCTTTAAGGACAACAGGTAAACGAACAAAAACATGTCTACGGTCGAAATTTTTAAAGCTATACATGATTCTTCTAATATCAGTGAGCTTCAATGATAAATACCAAAGAAAATTCTGATATATAATTGTTCATTTAATACCGAAATTTAATTTTCCTGGTAGATTTGAAATAATAAAGATATGATATCTGTTATTCTGCTTTCAAAATTGAGTACATGGTAGATGATGCACATATTTTGTGCATATACATGTTTGTGTGAACATAATTACCAGAGGCAGTGATATGTCTGTTTTATGTAGTAATTATTTTGTACTTGAACTTTGGAATACAGTTCAATTTTAAAAGAAAATGTAAGACATTATATGGATTGTCAGGAAAGTGTTCTTTCATATTTATTGATGTAGTGTTGGTAATTTTGTTATAACCAGATATTGTTAGTAATTTTTTATATAAAAAAAATGTATTTTTATACTTTTATAAGGTTTTGTTTTTGTTTGAGTCTCACTATTAGCTAGGACCTTAAAAGGTGTGCCTCCCCAGTTCAGGGTGGCCATGGAAACAGCAGCAATTAAGAGGTGATTTCATACTCCTCAAAATCACCAATTTAACGATCAGAGATCCTGCTGCCGGCTGTAGTTTATCGTCATACCCTCGACTAGAAAGCAATATCAATTTATTATACATTTTGTAATGTTTTAATATTTTTCATTTCATTAATTTCAGAAAATACTGATAAGAATAAGAACAGATATTTTTATTTATCTGTATTTATATGTACATAATGGCCGACCTCTCATTTCCAACGACACCAGCCAGTCAGGGCAGCTAACCAATCTCGGTTGCAGATGTCTGTTTAGACGCATTTGTATTTGTTCAATGCTCAGAGAACCAAGTTGTGATTTATACTTGAGCTATGCTGAGTGGACCTTAATTACATTTTCTTGGAGATACAGCATCATCTTCCATGATCAATAGTTCAACATGGCCATTACGCTTAAGCCCTCGGCGAAGAGGCCGTTATATAATTTTGAGGTAGCACTTTTCAACGGTAACAAACGCCGGAATTGCCTCCCAAAACTGATAATATCAAGAAAGCGGACGTTGTAACTACTCGGTCTCGCCCCGATATATATACATATATATATATATATATATATATATATATATATATATATATATATATGTGTGTGTGTGTGTGTGTGTGTGTGTGTGTGTGTGTGTGTACATATATTTACTGATATGCACTTAGATAATAATTTTAGAAACGAATCTATTCCTGTCGATAATTATTTGAATGAAGATGAGGTCTATATAAAATAATGAACTACTAATCAAATACCGTAAATTGCGCCGTATAATTCGACCTCGCGTACAACTCTACCTCAAGATTTTTATCTCAAAATTTTGAATTAGGCCTATACATACCGTATAGGTCGAAGCCTAAACATATTTACCGGTAGCCTAAAGTTTAGGCCTACCGGTAAATGAAATTTAAACAACAGTATAGGATTATCAGTGCTAAAACTCCATAAGGTCACAACCACTTACCCGTATATTGAAACACTAACTGTAATATCTTTCTATATGTGTTGCATAGCAAACAACATACCACTGCCACCGGTAGGTACCCTATATTGTATCGTTATAGCTTAGAGAACATTTAAAATTCATCAGGTCAACTGATAATCATATTAAAGTCAACATAAACTCCTGTAAAATTTTAATATCGTAAATTACACTTCATGCCAGGTAGTTTTTTAATAGTTTTGTTACGTATCGTATGTAGTTTTCTGAATGGCAGCCTGAGTTTTCTGAGTGGCAGCCTGAGTTTTCTGACTGGCAGCCTGAGTTTTCTGAATGGCAGCCTGAGTTTTCTGAATGGCAGCTTTCTGTCAATGTTAAGTGTATCAGCTTTTGGACGCCATTTGTGCTGATGAACTAATAGAATACCGAACCTGCGTTCCGACTTCATTATTTTATATAATTTTCTGTGTTAATATGCCAAATATGTTTACCAAACACAGGTTTTAGTAGGATATATTTGTGGCACGGTGGGGTAATGCATAGGTGGATTTGGAGAGCTGAGTTCGAATTCCAGTCGAAACCATTGCATTCACTTACGTGCTCATAAATTCCTTTACATGCTCGAATCCATTACATTCACTTATGTGCTAATACCCTCCCCACCCCCTAACCCCGCAGCTATGGGTAAATAGCAGGACAGATCAGGTTCTATAGCCTTGGATGGCAAAAATAAATGGCAACCTACTGCGGCAAAAAATCTGCCTCGTCAGTCATATATCGAAAGCGTGTATCTCGCCTGGCACATAACTGACTCACTCATTTGTGGCAGCCTGCTGGAAGTATGGTAAGCCGTGTGCAATAATGGTTAGCTGTTCATGTTATAGGTTTGCATTTTAGACTCGCCATATATGCCAAACAATAATTTGGGAAATATATTCTAAGCTTAAAAACTCGAATTTTACGCCGGAATTTATGAAACATGAAAACAAAAGTAAAAAGGAATCATTTCCAAACAATTTTTTTTCTCAACTGTGATATTCATTAATAGAAAACATATTTAAATACCCAAACCATTTATAATATTGCTCCACGACAACACACATAATGTGTGTGCCAGTCTAGAAATGATGGACTCTGTCTTTGTAAGTTTGTAGGGTCAAATTTGTTTCGTACAGTCTTCGAATATCTTTAAACCGGAAAAACAGAGTTTTACTTAAAAAAAACTGTGTCTCATCTGAACGTAGGAGTTCATGACTCTCCACAAACTGCTTTGTCATGACGTCTTGTGAAAGAGAGTGGCGTAGTTTCAAATAAGTCTTTTTTTTTTTTTTCTCTCCTAGACTAGCTAGTAGTCAGGAATACACAGCTCGATCTACCCTGTTACAATTAGCTGCAGAAGAAATAGAATTATTTCTTTGTCAAGTCCATCAGTGAGAAACTGAAGTCAACAGACTAGGATGGGATCTAAATATTCCATCAACAAAAAGACGCCGGATTTCGACCAATCACCATGAAGTGACTTCGACCAATTTTAGGTTTCAGTTATGGACAACAAAATGAGCAATAATTAGATGATAATAGGTAATCAGCATTTAAAGTTGGATCTTCAAAGAACCTCTTAATTCTTCTCACGAAATCAGAAATCGCTTCAATTTTAACTTGGTGAGAATTAGTGATTTTTTCTATAATCAAAATTGTGAGGCGTATCTAATACAGAATTAGATCCGCCTCCCACTTTTCTTTTATTAATCCTGCCAATTGCACAAAATAAGACTCACGTTTTCTTTACGATTTTCTCCAAGATATTGAACAGTGCAAAAATGAAGAAATGAACTAATCTAATGTTAGATAATATGATAATCGAAACTTATTTATTATTCGATTTCACTGAGGGAAATTACGGAATACTAACAACAGGTGAATAATAATATTCAAAGTCATTGCGCATGCGCTAATAACAGAGTGGGAAAAGTTCAATTATATACGCAACGCTTTCGCGTTTTTAAATGTCGTAGGTAGAAAAATTAGGGATACCCATTATATATATATATATATATATATATATATATATATATATATATATATATATATATATATATATATATATATATATAACCGAATGGGTAAATATACGTAGGTGTAATAGCGAATGATCGTATAGAAATACATATAAATACTCTATAGTGTAAGAAAAACACACACACACACACAAACACACACACATATATATATATATATATATATATATATATATATATATATATATAACTGCAAACGTTTTTTGTGAATTCATTTATATTGTATATTATTATTATACATGCATATATATTATGATTGCAAACCTATATATATATATATATATATATATATATATATATATATATATATATATATATATACATACCGTGTTCTGAGGCATATACATTTTTATCATTATTAACTTTATCAGAAAATAAAAATTGATAAGTTTTTGTTAATGAAAGTTTACACCTATATTTATCGCCAATAGTTTGCATATATTTACAATTCAAAATGGCCACTCTTTGCTTTCACCGTAGTCTTTAATAATCTCCAAACGAGAAAGAGGTAGGGCCAGATGGGATATCCCGCCTAATTAATTAATATTAGCCAATATTAATTTGAAGCTACTTTGCTGGGACAGGGACTGCTTTCAGTGTGCTCAAGTATGTTCCCTTTTTTTCCTTTTATTTTTTAAATCTCATCGTAATTATTCTAGCGTTCACCCGTCGAAATTTGCATTATTTCTTTGATACACTTGTAAAATGGCAAGTAGAAATATTTCCATAATGCTTCTTGTTTCTGTTCTTTTCATGCAAATTGGAATTGGGGAATGTTTCGAATTTCATCCTTCCGTTTAAATTTCACTGAACTTAAAATAGCATGTGTTTTAATGTACCTTTAGTCTGACCATATAAAAATAAATCTTACTATTATGACCATATAAAAGTAAATCTTAATAGTATGACCATATAAAAATAAAGGTTAATAGTTTGACCATATAAAAGTAAACCTGATTATTATGACCATATAAAAGTAAATCTTAATAATATATCCATATAACAGTAAATCTTAATAGTATGACCAGATAAAAATAAATCTTAATAATATAATTCTTTTCCTGCTTGTGCATTTATGTAAATACATGGACATTCCGGCTTACAAAACTTGTAAAGAGAAGTTTAAATTAAAACTGTCAGAGGAGGCGAATGTTTAATTGATATAACTACTCACTTTTTATAAGGACAGTGTGATCAAATAAGAAAAATGTCCGCCATGATTATTTTAGCTTGATCGTGTGAAGCTTTTGGATATAGTTCAATTGCGTTTTTATTTTATTTTACATGCTCCCGACTAGAGGTGATAACACGTGTGATCCAATTAGATATGATATGCATTACGCTGCAAGACAAACGTTTCTGTCTATCAACGAAACACATATATGCGAACGCTGGTATAATTACTCTATAAGTGTTATTTTTTGTTTTTTGTTTTTTCTCTTAAGTGTTTTTGTGCATTTAGTACATTAGAGAGTATTTGGAATTTCTCTTAGAACCAATACAAATACCTCAAGTAAGGACAGGCAAATCATTCAATAAATGCATCTACTCCGGTAGTGGACACCTGCTTTTAGCCATTCAGTTTTATGCTTATATATATATATATATATATATATATATATATATATATATATATATATACTAGTAGATTTTCCGTTGTTTTCGACGTATGATGGTATAGCAACTCAGTACCTAAAACTGGACCGCTAGACTACTTGCGCATATTTGTTTATAGTTGTGAAGACTTATGCACAACCAACAACACAATTTGGTTGGTAAGTTGGTTGGCTAGGTATTTTTATTTAGCATCAAATCAATCTCTATGTGTATGACAAAGTATAAATATTTGTGTTTCAATTCTATTTTATTTTGAAGAAAGATTTAGTGATATAACCCTTACCCATTGACTCATAGCTGGAAGGAGAAGAAGTGGATTCCTACCTTTCCCAGGGTTATCTGCGCGTAAGTGAATTTAATGAACCCAATTCCAATTGGAACTCTGCTCTCCGATTAGCAATTCCAAGCTAGTATCAGTTACACCATCCACACATCCAAGTTTTACCGCATCTGGTATTCCCAAGTGGTTATTCATCTAGGTACTGACCAGGCGGCACATATATATAGATAGATAGATAGATAGATAGATAGATAGATAGATAGATAGATAGGCAAGTCTATGACGTCAGTGTCAATTATTTTCTTGTGATTGCAATCTGTCCTATAGGACTTTATCGGACTAATATATTGTTTATGTTGATGTTTACACACGTGCATGAAAGAAAGGAGACGCGGAAATTTTATATTTAAATTTGATTTCTGTTTTAAATACATATTCCGAGTATACTTAGTTTCTTTTTTTTATGTTTTTATAGCATTTGTTATTAAAGATCCCACATTGTGATAATAGAAGATCTGTCAAAAAAAGGTGAAATGTTGTATGAGCCTTGGTCGTAAATTTACTGCGTATGATCTTGTGATTAATGTAATTTCCCTACATTTTTCTTCTCAGTAAATTTCTTTCTCTTTTATTTAAAGTAACATCATTAAAGATAAGATCAGTATCATTAGAGCGTGCAACACTCCCCGCAATCTATCTGACCTATTTTTAAATCATCTATGCATCGAATATTTCACACACATCTGGTCTAGTGCCATGCATTTCGAGATTTTTAATAGTAAACCATGAGGAATCTGCAATGTTATCGATCTTGACTTGGCATCTCGGCTTTAGTCAGTTTCCCACCAGCATAACGTAGCTTCCCTATGACTTTTTCTATAGCTATCTTCATGGTAATTGTTCTGATGCGCTTTGATACTTAGACTTCATGAATTTAAGTGTACTACTTGGGTAACTGCAAGATCTCATCATGTTACAATTAAAATGGCTAGATGTAGCCGTAAGTTCTATGCTAACAGTTTCTTCTCTCGCACTTCTCGCTTGTGGAACTCTCTACCGGTTACTTGCATTTAAGTCAACATTGATCTTCAAAAACTTAAATGCAATGTTAATCGTTATCTTCTGTCTTAATTCCCGTTTTTTTCTTTTTTTCTTTCCTTAATATTTTATCCATTTTTCTCATATTATTTCATATCAACTTCTTGTCTTCCTTGGGGTGAAATGATTAAAAAAACTAATGTATTGAGTGTGTTCTTTTGTAAAAGATCCCTTTTTCGTTCATATATTTTATTTACATTCCTTGAGGTTTCTCCTGTGTATTCCTTGTGGCAATTATTACAGGTGATAGAATAACTTCATCTTTCAAGTTTTAGCCAATTGTTATTTTGTTATGGATTCTTTTATTTGTTTAGAAGTACTTGCAATTTCTTTTATGCAAAGTTTATGTAAATTATTTTCAATTTTAATTGTGATAGACTTGGTAAGTATAACAATATATTTTAACTCGTTGGTTCAATCGTCTATTTTTAAATAATTTACGAGACTTGTTTGCTTCGTGGAATATGAAATTATAAGATATTCTGACTGTTCGTAAATAGATCCGATCATTATTCCGGATTTTATTTTGTTTTCATGACGAAAATAGAATTTTGTGAGATCATTTCTATTAGATGATTTGCGATGGACAGTTAGTTTTAGGTTATTGTCATTATCAAGTAAAATGTCAATTCTTATATATACATTGCTCAATATATATATATATATATATATATATATATATATATATATATATATATATATATATATATATATATATATAAAATACATTATGAAGAATAAACAAAATACAATACATACTTATAGTTAGCTGTTTTCGCACGATTTGATATATCAAGTTAACGCGCGGTTTCTTTTTCTCTTTTTTTTTTTTTTTTTTTTTTGACGCGGGTTGCTTCACAAAAATCGTCAGGCGATTGAAAAAGACAGGAAACTGAATTGATAATTACCAATTATATACTGGTAGATTAACCTCATGAACTTAGAGCTATAGTTACAATTAGGTCACGTCGTTTTTAATGTTGAAAAAGCTTGAGGTAACAATACGTTCTATTCTCGCTTGTCGAACTCTATTCCGGCTTCTTGCTTTCCCGTCACCTCCGATCTTCAAATGTTCCAATGAACATCAATCTCCATCTTTTGTCTTAATGATTCTTGGTTTTTTATTCCCACTTTAGTACACTAGCGCCTTCTCATCTATCACTCTGAATAAGCCTTTTGTCTTACTGACAATATCCTCTGCAGGAAGGATTATATATATATATATATATATATATATATATATATATATATATATACCTAGAGTATCTAGGTCTGCTCTACGGTTGTATTGAGCTCTTTTGTTAGTTAGTTGTTACTCGTATCGGGTTTTTTTCTTTGGGCTTCAGACCTGCATCTGTGCGATTTTTTTGTCGGCAGAAGTTCATGTTTGTAGCTCTTTCTTTTTTTAAAACCTTTTTTTCCCTCGAGATTGATTTGATTAGCAAATCAAAAATTCGAGGGTTTTTCGAAACGAGTCTAGTTATCTATATTTATATGTATATATATATATATATATATATATATATATATATATATATATATATATATATAAGGATAAACTAAGACAAGGTGGAAAAGTTTTCGTGTGTATCGTTTCATCCTTTAGGCATTCATTTGATTAAATTGACAATTGTACTTGAAATAAAAACATATATACATCGTTTTTCCATACAAACACACACACACACACATATATATATGTGTGTGTGTGTGTGTGTGTGTGTGTGTATTATATGTGTGTGTATGCGTGTGTGTGCGCTCGCCACGCGTGCAAGAGCGTTTGGTTTCATGTTTCCAACAATATATATTCATACGAGTGCGTAGATAGACAGACAGATATTAACAGACGTAGATAGATAGATAGATAGATAGATAGATAGATAGATAGATAGATAGTGTTATAGTGGAACACACTTATTCTATTGTTAATAGATTCTCTCACCAATAATAAGTAGGAGTAGTGCGAGTCGCTCAGGGGTCTGTCAGTCAGTCGATGCCGGACAACCGTTAGTCGAATACAAAAGTATCAGCGTCCACAACTAAATTACTCTGCGTCATTACCTATTATATCAAGTTCCTAACGTTTTGTACGTCGAACCTATTTTAGGACCGACTTAGTACAAATACAAGCCTCCACTGTGAAACCATTACAGATAGATAGATAGATAGATAGATAGATAGATAGATAGATGTGAAATGACGTAGATAAATGGATTTGTTTCATCCTCTCTTTAATTGCTTCGGTTTTATTTACTGGTGATAATGAACATCTGAATGTCTGGTAAAATTTTACCGGGACATGAAGAACATGTTGTAAAGCGTTTAATAAAAACAGAAACACAATGTAAAGCGTATTGCCAATATTCTTTTTTTAAGAACATAAAGAATATATAATAATGCGAAACAAATAGACTGACAAAAAAACTTCAAAAACAAACTCAGAAAAGTACAAAACTCACTTCAAAGACAATGCCACAATTCTAAGTATAAATAAGTTTTTTATCCGCAGTTTTGCCATGACATATCTATATGTTTCTCATAAATATATGCCGTCCTAGGTATGACGATAAACTACGGCCAGCAGCAAGGCCTCTGATCAGGAGGATTTGAGGAGTTTGGAATTGCTGGTGTTCCCAGGTACCCCCTGACCCGTGGTGGTAGCACCTGTTAGGTCCCTAGCTACGGGCAAATAGTTAAACCCCAAACTGTGGTCAAAACACCATGAAAGTGTAAAAATAGATTTTAATACCAGAAATACTTTGTAAAAATTATCAACAATAATTTTTTGAGGAAAAATTATTACCAACAATACATATTTGTGGAAAAAAATATTACCAGCAATAAAAATTGCCGGCATTAAATAACCCATTGAGGTTAATATGCCGTAAAACGAAACAAAACAAACCAAACCACAAAGATATGTTATGATTTGATTGAGAGAACCATGACTAATCTACAGGGAACATGCTACCTCATTGATGATAACACGCCGGTTCGCCACTTTCGTCTCTCGAGCTTGGTGAATCTTCTCGTCAATTAACAGACATTCTGTTCTTTTTTCGTGCGTCACGCTTGTCCAGCCACTTTTAAACACCTCGATACAGTCATATACACTTTGGCGCGGTAGTGCACTCCACGTCGTATTGTTTTAAAAGGTCCCCGATTAATTTTAGTCCCTGAAACACCTTTCAATCAGAAAATCGGACCACTGCTTTTTATTTCTCTTTGGTACACGCTGCTACTAACAGCAGCAACAGAACTAACGTGACCAATCTCAGACTTCGATCATGTGGCCACAATGGTACCAGCAGGCATGAACAGAAGACTACCTGGAAAAGGGGTGTACGAGCAGCATTACAAGATACGGTGCATTGCTGGTAAACAATCTAAAGCCACCAATACACATTGAACACCGAAGCCTATAGTCGAGAGAAAGACCTTGAAAACATTAACCAATTTGGTTTTGGGATGTTGGAACTCTCTGCCTACAGTCGAGATCTTGCGCCATCCAACTATCGTCTCTTTAGAACGCTCAAATATGCTTTACGGAGTCGTTGATTTCCTACGGATAAGGAAGTGCAGAAAACAGTGCATAAATATTTGGGTGACCATCCGAAAACCTTCTTCACGGGATCACGCAAGCTTGCGGACCGCTGTGCTAAGTGCATCAAAAAGGAAGGAAACTATGTAGAAAAACAACATGCTTGTTTAACTTCTGATTTTGTGTAAATAAATTGAAATAACAAGAGTGAGGATATTTTTCGACTGTCCCTCGTATGTAAAACTAGAAATGATAATTACCCTTCACTTATACGTATTTTTAGTCTTCTTTATTGCAAACGACTGAAAAACGAAAAGGTTTTCTTGCTGCTAATTTAAGAACAAAAAAAAAAAAAAATGAAGGGCTTATGCATTCACTTTTATCAAAAAGATTTCTTCCCCTAATTTCATTCTTCTTAGAATACTGATTTGATAGTTTAGCAAAATAAAAAACGGGAATTATATTAATTTACGCAATGCAAAATAGCGTTGATGGTGCTAAATATTTTAGGAATTTTCTTGTGTTAAACTTGCGTGTTGGTGAAGAAGAATGTTTTTTCAATATACAAAGAATTAGCTGAGCTGAATGAAAACGCTTGGACGATTTGTGTACATGTTTGCTGGGCGGCGATAGAAAAATAATAGATTTTGTTGGTAAATGCAAAGTATAAATTTAGTGTTCATTCAGGCAGTTCGAAAAACGTGACAACCATCAAATTAAGACAAAAGCCCAAAAAGCTGAATAAAACGAATGGAAAAAAAAAATTAAATATTTACATAAATAAGTAAACGTAAATCAATAGACAAGTTTAAGACGATATTTTGCAAATATTTTCTCTTCGGATTTTATCAAAAGCAAGTAAAACAGGATTTTTCTTTGATTTTATTTTCCTTAATGATTTGTTTAATTTTTCACTCGGTAAGTTTAGCGATAACAGAAAAAGCCACGAATGGAAATAAAGAAAGAAAAACGTTTAAATGAAAAGGAGAGGCCATAAAAGATCCATTTTTCTTTTCTATTTTTTAGTTCTTTTTGTGGATGCAGAGGGATAAAGAATTTTTCGAAGGCCTCGAACGGAGCCGAGAAGGACCGGACAAAAAGAAGCGCACGGGAAACCGTTTGTAAAGATGAAGAGAAAAGTCATCAATTTTAATGGAAGGAAATAAATAGCAAAGAAAATAAAACAAATTAGGAATTAAATTAAGCATCTTTTCTCTTTCATAGTATTTTTATTGTTTGTTTATTCTAGGAAGTTAAACCAAATATCTTTTTTTTTTCATTGTATATGTTTATATCTTATCCAGTCGTAGACTTAAAAGATTGAAAAATTTTAATTTTTATGAATTTCTTACATGAAGCATTATTATTATTATCATCGTTTTTCGCGTCCCCCTATTTATCTTGTGAGCTGCTCTTGACAGAAATAACTGGAGATATTTGTGCTAGAGTGGTATCAGAAGTTTCAAAATCAGACGCAATGACCGACTAAGAGTTGAAAGACAACGGCGAAAAGCGTCAGCAAATATTCATGTGGCTATATCGCAAGATCTTCACTGTTGTACAATATGTAAACTTGTATGCATGTCACTGGCGGCACTAAAGTCTCACACACGACACAAAAATAAAACTGAATGAATCGACATAATATATAATATATATATATATATATATAATATATGATAAAATATAGTTTATATAGAATTTATGGGTTTCGCGTAAATAAATGACGACCTAGAGGTAGGCGTTGACTTCAATGTCAACTTATATATATATATATATATATATATATATATATATTATGTATGTAAAATTTAAATATAAAATCTTTTATATATAAAAAAATAAATGATAAATGTCTGAATTTACTAAAAACTTATCTTAAAAAAAAAATTAAAATGACCTCTTTCTACACATTAGAATTTCTGGAAATTGGTCTTCGTATTTTAGATATATAGATGATTCCCTAACAATATATGCATACGACATAGTTTTACCCGTTCTTGTCAAGAAAATTAATAATGTCAAAACCACAATAGATTTTACATTTGAACCTGAGACTAAGATCATTTTACCATTTCCAAGATATCATGTTACATAGAACTAATAATAACATTCAGCTGGAGGTTTATAGAAAATCTAGGAACAACAATGAGATTATTAATTCCTATTCTCACCACTGCAACAGAATAAAATATCGAATATTTATAAGATTCTTAGCACTAATAATCTGAGCCCACAATAATTGTCTGAAGAAGAAATATACATAGAAAACACGTTTGAAACCCTCCAATGTCCTTAATTTCTCCTCCACAACTCTTATAAAAAGACATACAAGATATACTAGAAAAAAGATAATATTAATAACAACAATAACAATAAAAATAAACTAGATAAAACAGACATATAATATTACCTACTAACTCCATAGCATCTACTATTCCTAAAAAAATTATCCAGTCTTTACAAGACAAACATAATTACAACACCATCCAAAATTATAATAGATATAGTCAGAACCCAAAATACGCATAGCAATAATAATTCTGAAGCAGTTATATGTAAAATACACTGCACCATACAAGAAAAATGCATAAATGTCGGATAAACGGAGCTTTGAACACAAAAGTAATCTTATACAAAATTATTTATCAAATGCACTAGTCAAACCTAGAATATATTGCACTATATACAACGAAGGTAATATAACATTCTTTATACAAAGCCAATGCCTTAAACAAAACTAATAAGATATCCGATGCCCGAAAACAAAGGAAACAAAATAAATAAAATGAATTTTAGAAATCCAAATTAATCAACAAATTAAGTAAATAATAAACAAATTAACAAAATAGAAAAGCACACATAAAGACAAGTAAATTTAATAATAATAATAATCAACAAGAAATAATTAATCAATAATAAATAATGAGTAAAAAGTTAAACACTGTACAATAGATAAAAATAACCACATTTTGATCCATAATTATTTCTACTCAATAACCTCTAGAATAATATAACCATTACCACCTACCCAATAATCATTAGAATAATATAATAGGCCTTGCTACCCATAATGGACTATTGACCAACATTTCTAAATAGTTGAACCAACACACAACTCATGGCCTGATGATTTTGCTCAAGAGTGACACAGACTATCACAGCTCAGTGTTAACCTCAGTGTCTACTTTTATATTTGTGTGTGTGTGAGTGAAATTATTGATAAAAACATGCCACAAACACATGATAGTATGATATTTGAAACTACCATGTAACATAAAGCATAGATTAAATTTAAAACTCTAAGGCATTTTTAACAAAGCAAATAATTTGGACAATATTTATACAACCTCAAACTTAAGTCAAAAAAATAATCCTTAACAATGAATTTTCATTAATAAAATTTGCATAAATAAAATTCTTTAATAAAATTTGTATAAATGAAAAGTGTCACTCAAATACACTCTCTTTAATTATATATATATATATATATATATATATAATAGTGTATCTCATCTCAGAAATATAGACATTGTTCTCAATTGTTGCCATATTTATCACAACGTTTCGGACGTTGTACTCGCCGGTCTTCTTCGGGTGATTGGAATGTCGAATTATTTCACTCGCTATTTTTTTATGCGAGAATGAATCTGACTATATTTCTGAGATGAGGTATTATGTACACTATTTACATTATTTGGATTATCGTCCTCATCTTTGTTACCATATTTATCACAACGTTTCCGCCTTTGTACACTCCGGTCTTCTTCAGGTGGTTGGAATGTCGAACTGAACCCTTTATTCCGCTCGCTGGTGTAGACTGTTCTAGTTCCACGTGCCATGTGTAATGGATGTCAGTTATCAATTATCTCTAATTAATTCCCCTTTCCAAATTCTCCACCGCCTTAACATGGTTTCGATTTTGTAATAGATTTCCATAAGATATATGTTTGTGTGTGTTCGAACATATGATTCTGAGTCTGTTAGTGTGTGTGTGATGGGTACCCCGCTGTGGTGTAATGGATAGCAAGCTTGTCTCGCTAGATCAGTTACGACTGAAAATTAATTTCGATCCTCACTAGGTGCCCCATACTTTCGGCTTTGTGCCACATCTGTGCTACGCTTATCAACCCTGGGGAACAAATGCGCCCTCTCATTTCACCAGAGAGAGTGATAGGTGCTGTCTCTAGCCCGGATGTACACGCTTGGGAACCCACCTTAAAAACTGACCTTGTGTCACAACTCGTGTTAGTGGCGAGACAGAATAAGTACCTAGTGATGCCTATAAAGAAAGGTAAATATTAGATTCAGTCAGCTCAAGTGAACGTTAATAATTGGGCCGTAGTCAGAAGCTATGAGTTTCTAACCAGTACTAAAATGTCTCTTCGTGGGGGCAATATATTTTATTACCTGACCGATTCAATAAGACCGCCCTCTTTATATGAACCAAAGAATTAGCCGCATCAGTTCCTTCCAAAATCATATTATAATTTATTACATCTCGAAGGGGGTTCTGTCAAATGTTCTTTTTTCCCATCAGAGATCGATATATGCAGTACTGTTGCCTGCTTATTCATTAATTGGTTCGTTTGCATTTAAGGTTACCGTGACATAGCTTACTTGATCCTCGACAAGTTCAAAGAAATGCATTATAAACACAATTTACCATATTAACAGGAATTTATAGGGATAACGATGAAATTATTTTATGGGATATAATATAATAATCAAATCACTATTCATATATATTCATATAATAACAAATATATATATATATATATATATATATATATATATATATATATATATATATATATATATATATATATATATATATAGGAAACTGAAATGATACATATGACATACTCATATCCTCTCTCCCACCTCACTCCCTCACTTCGTTAATTTTACGTATACTTCATGAGGTCCGTAAAAAAAACGTGAGTTTTTTTCATTTTAGCTTTTGGAAGTAAAGTCTGATGATCCAGAACCCTGTTAAAGGGTTATGGTGAAATAGCTTATTACATGGAATCTTAACGTGGTCTGTCTTTTATTCAAAAACATATATATATATATATATATATATATATATATATATATATATATATAAATCGCTGTTTGTTGGGGAGAGTCTTTTTTTTCTTCACCTTTTTCAACAACGCCGTCTTGATATTCCTGGCTGTTTTTTTTTTTTTTTTTTTTTGTTTGTTTTTTTGTTTTTTTTTTGTCTTCCTATTCTGAAGGGAAGAGAGGAGGAGTTTAAAAGGAAAGGAATGGAAAGAAGAAATGGTGATGGTGGTGGTGGGAAAAGAAAGCAAGAAACGTTTCTGATCATAATTCCTACGACCAACGAATGTGTTCGATATTTTTTATTTATTTATTTGTTAAAGCAAGACTTCATATGAAAGGAAACTTTCGTTGCCATTCCTTACCTGTTATGTCAAGCTGTTCGTTGACAATGTGGGTCTTTCCGCGTGGGGGACCTAAGATGGAAAAAAAAGACGAGCATGCTGTCTATTCTTTTTTTGTATCGTCTTGGCTGAGCAGGAAGTGACGTAAGTCGTTAATGAATGGTCGCTTATAATTTCAAGATGATCAGTGGCATTTACTTAATGTTTTCATTTGTTGCGCGCTTTGCTGATTTATTGCTTCAGGACAGCCTGTCGGAATAGTAGTGTTTCGGTAGGGTCTCTTCCACGTTAGACTATATACTGAATTGACAATTGAAATGAGAGACTGTTGTTAAATTGAGGTAATAACTGTATTGCATTTATCTGCGACAAACGCATCGATTATAATACATGTCAAAAATTTGTAATTTTATCTTCTAATTGTAAGACGAAAGTAGTTGAAATAACAGACGATAAAAACAACGTATCACGAGATCTTAATCCGCCTCAAATGCACTCTATATCCGATAGACATGTTCCCATTATCAGCGGATACATTCACGTTTCAAATTCATCATTGTCTATCATTTAAATATATATATATATATATATATATATATATATATATATATATATATAAATGCTTCATTTATATGGGAAAAACGCTCAATATTGGTGATAACTTGTTTATAGTTATAATATGAACGCAGTAATTGACGCGCCATGGTGACTGAAAATAACACGTAGGGGAAACGAGAGCAGCGTACGTGGGTGTAAAAAGAAACAAAAAATGTGCCTGAGCAGAGTTGATTCCATCGTCTCTGGAGGGCATGTATGCTTACTACACACACACACACACACACACTTTTATATATATATATATATATATATATATATATATATATATATATATGTCATCCACAGACAGACTGTTTCGCTGTTTCAAAGCTCATCAGTGCGGTAGACATCCGGTTACCTCTAGCTAGGATCGAAACCCGACTGACTTGGTATCAGGCGGAGATTCTAACCAATATATATATATATAATCCAAATATAGTTTTATAGTAGGCTATATTAATTGCCAAAAGTGCAGAATGTTAGATAGAGCGTATATAAAGAAAAAAGTGGACACTAACTTCAACAGCGAGTGATAACAGTCTGTTTCATGCATTAAAATAGTTATTAAAATTTTTATATTCGTGTTTGAAGATTATTTAAATTATTCGTTTATAGACACATAATCCGATATATACATATAGTTGTAGGTTAGATAAATGAATCAGACAGATATAAGGAAGCGTATGCGGGCGAGCAAATAAATAATCGTCATATTTATAAATCCCCCCTCTCTCTCTCTCTCTCTCTCTCTCTCTCTCTCTCTATCTCTATATATATATATATATATATATATGCACACGCGATCACACACACACACATAGATAGATAGATAGATAGATAGATAGATAGATAGATAGATAGATAGATATTAGGCAGTAATTACTCAGGGTAGAATGCTTGTGACCATTATGTAGTAAATGTACAAAAAATTGTATTTTATGCAGAAAACTCAGATTAAGTCTTCAACACCTTACTTATATTAGATGTATATTGTACCACAGAGTGTAAATGTAGCTGCTGATCTATTTTATTCACGGTTGGCAATGCTTAATATATACAGGGTGCGATGGGTAAATTGTCGCCATTTTATTTAATTTTTTTTTAATTTCGCGCGTGCACTATTCTCTGCACTCTCCTCAGATTGACACCCGAACAGACTGAAATGTTTGTATTGGTGCTTTCAGCACGGATGCCAATCAGTACAGCATATTTCTAAATTTCTGGCGGAGTGCATTGCGTTACGGTGCACTTTTTTTTTTCTCACAGACAGTGCAGTCGCCAAAATCAAAAACAAACAACGTACATGCTCGAAATTATAAATATAAAATAGCGATAATTTATCAGTCGCACCCTGTATAATTGATCGGTATATTTTACGACTGTGGCTTGAAGTGAAGTTAAACTAAATTGAGTAAATAAGTTTTATCTATGTGTTTTTAAAGAATAATCCTGGAAGATTTTCCTATTATTTTGTGAAAATTCTTCTTTTTTTATTAATGCCACTGCTATTCGAAAACTCTACTCAGATTAAGGATGCCGAGTGTCTGTGATATTTGTATGTGTTAACGCGTGTTGAAGAATAAGAGTACGGGCGTGTTAAAAATCTGTTATATACCATAGCAAACACAGATCTGTGCCTGTATGTGGTTGAATTTTTTACAAAAAATCAAAGTTAATGCTAAAAAGAGAGGAAAAATTAAATAATTGGACTTTTAAAGTCTAATTATTTAATTACTGCATACTATTTCCCTTCGGGGTAGATTTCAACCTAAATTTTATATCTTCATCATTAACGAAAATAAATTGAGTGAATGTGCCCTTAGTGAAGTGACTACATCTGCTCATATTGTAGCAGTAAAAAAAATGTTCGCACCACTGTCAAACTTGGCGGTGTTTAATCATTTGTTTCAGCTCGTCTATGAACGTCTCTGGATGTAAACGCCGGAAGAGGTCAGGCTAAATAGATATAAAAATTTAGAGTATTTTTTCAACGAATTGTAATGATGATGGTTAAGTTAACCTTTACCATATAAGAAACATTCGTTATTCGTTGACCAAACCGTTAGAGTTACTATCGGTTGAATTTATATTTCAGTATAATAGGCTTATATAGTCAATAGTTATTGTTCTTTTTTGTTTGATTGGAGTTTCCTTCTAAACATTTTTGTTGTTTTTTTTTATCATTTCACCCCAATCAAGACAATAAATCTACTAAGATGCAAGCGGTTTGTTAGAGAATATGAGAAAAATACTTTTAATAGTTAGTATTAAAAAGATAGAAGATTGACATGGCATATAAATTTTTGAAGATCAAAGTTGACTGGAATGCTAGATTCCGAAAGAGAGTTCCATAGAAGGAACTGTTAGCATAGAACTTGCGTTTACATCTAGTTATTTCAACTGTAAAATGATGAGACCTCGCCGCCAATCTAGTACTGCGCTTAAATTCATAAAGTCTAGTTACAAAGGAGGAAAGTTCATCAAAACTATTACCTTTAAAATATTTATAGAAAAGACACAGAGAAACGATGTTACGATGGTGGGAAAAGAGACTGAAGCCGAGATACCAAGTCAGGACCAACAATCTTGCAGATTCTTCTTTGGATTTTATCTAGAATATCTAAATATATAGCATCGAACAAGCGGCAATATCTAAATATATAGCATCGAACAAGCGGCAATATCTAAATATATAGCATCGGACTAGCGGCAATATTCAAAGCAAGGATTAATGATAAACTTATAAATATGTAAGAATCTGACGAGAAAAATTGTCTATCACGATATTCTGAACATAGTTTTCTATCTGCAGACTTAGCAATTGATTCAATACACTATTTCTCTTTCATCTCACCTGAAAAGATTAACCTAAAAGGCACATAATGATAGAATGAAAAAAATGGTTATCTCCGATAAGAGAGCAGTTTCGTTTTTGAGGCATTAAAATTAAAAAGCCACTCCTTGACCTTTAACAACAAACCGTATCGAACCGATCAGATTTATTATTAAGGCAGTAGATAGTTGTGTCATTAGTATATATACCAGGTTGACAACTGATGACATCATGGACGTTTTTGTTTGTGTTGGATGACAACACCTTTATTATATCTTTATTTTATTTTCCTACTATATTTTTGCTGTTGACGTTGTTGAATGATAATAGTAGCAAAAATGCGATATTGAGGTTTACTTTTAATCTAATGGTCAGAGCTTCACATAAATCAATATCTATCGGTCATTGGCATGTTTTTTTGTTTTGTTTTGTTTTTTCTGAAAGAATAAATGATTAAAAATTAAGATTAGATAACAAGTAAATTCCTTAAAATTCAAAGACTTATTTTGTTGTTCAGTGTATTAAAATGTATACATATACAATGTATACATACTGTGGCGAACTTTTTGCCATGATGATAAATTACTTTTTTTCAAACCTTTTCCGCGCCTCAACTTCTAAATTAACATTGCTTTTTTCACGGATTTTGATCATGTTGGAAGCTTCTCATTAAACACATAAGCCGCACAAGGTCAATAATTCTTCGAATGCAAGAGAGATCATTAGAAAATCATGAGATAGTAATATAACAAATGGACGGAGAATGATCGATAAAATGTTTTCCGGAGTCAGAGATTCTAAATAAAGCATGGAAATTATAATTTAAATCCCAGATCTTCAAAACAAGATATTTGTATGTGTTAACGCGTACGGATGTGTGTTGAAGAATAAGAGTGCGTGTGTGTTAAAAGTCTGTTATATACCATAGCAAACACAGATTTGTGCCTGTATGTGGTTGGATTTTTTTACAAAAAGCAAAGTTAATGCTAAAAAGAGAGGAAAAATTAAATAGTTGGACTTTTAAAGTCTAATTATTTAATTTTTCAGAAAGACTGTCAATCAGGAGGTATTGGTGAATTAGAAAAGTCTACACATGAACGACAAACGTATTTATGAAAAATAATGCCAAGCAAAACTGCAGATATTTTCAAGAAACATTTTACAACAGCATGTATGTGTTTAAAAGAATGAATTTGACGTAAAGTAAATTGATACTGCGAGGTTAAACATCTAGTGGAATCCAGTCAGGTAAGGAAATACTGCTATTTGTGAAATTACATTTACTTTAGTACGTGTGATTTATAGCGTATGCAAAAGCGTCTGATAGAATACATCACAATGAACTGTTGGAACTGCTTGGTAACATTGACACATTTGAGAAGGATATTAGAATTATCAAGGAATCGTATTGGCAGCAAATAGAAAATAAACTCAGTAGATATACAAAAAAAGAAAGTGGGGTAAGACAAGAATGTGTTTTCTCACTAGACTTATCCCTATTATACAGTGAGGCGATTCTGAGAGAATTATAAGTCCTAACAGAGTTCATTATAGGCTGCCACAGTCTTAACAACATAAGATATGCCGAGGGCATAATGTTGATAGTAGATACGGAAAGAAAACAACAATAACTCCTATAGAAAGTATTGAAGGAAAGCAAGAAGAAAGGATTAAACATCAACTGGAAGAAGACGGTTCTTAGAGAAAGGAACAACCCAACGTGAAAATGACAAATTGGAGATACCAAAATCAAACAAGTGCAAGCATTTAAATATCTGGGAACTTTTTTACCAGAGGACAAAAAATGCAACAGTGAAATCTGAAGTCGCATTGGGATAGACAAGGATATATTCGAAAAGCTAAGCAAATTATTAAGAAACAGACAAATTGCGTTAGAAACGAATAAAAGAGTACAGAAGTGATAGATAATGGCAATGAATACAGGGAAATCTACTTATAAACAAAAAGGAGATTAGAGGCACCAGGATTGTGGTTCTATTTGATGTTGCTGAGGAACATGAGGGCAATGACGAGGTTTTATTGAAAATGGAAACAAAAAGGAAATTTACACCTAACATCAAGAAGAAACAGTTAAAAATTCTAGAGCACATAAGAGGGATTGAAAAATCTGATACTCACTGAACTTATTGAAGGCAAGAGGTACAGAGCAAAACAACCCATAACCTATATAGTGAACCTGTGTAAATGGATGGCGCAACGGTTTTGAGGAGAAATAACAAAAGGAAAATATTTATTATGAGCTACAAAGGACTAGAAATTGTGGAGAGACATGATCGCCTATGTCCTGAAAGGCCACGGCACATAAAGCAGAATACTTTCTCTCGACACACACACAGGGGGAAATGGCATTTTAACAAATAACGATTTTCTAACCACTGATTAGATGTGGCACAAGTCCGAGTGTGTGGGGCAACCAGTCGTAACTGATCTAGCAAGACGAGCTTTCTAACCATTACACCATGGCGAGTTGCCCAAATAGCATTTTAACAGATATATTTACCAAAATTCTACAAACATATCTGTAAATAGTAAAGAGTAAATTAATTCAATAAAATCGCCATTGGCTTTAACCACAGCCTCCCGACATCTTCGGAACTTCCTGCAACTCTTTTTGAACGGTCTTCTTGTTTCAGTTGGTGTATGCTGCCATAATCCTTGAATTCAGTTCATCTTTTAGTGTTACAAGAAATTTTGTTGTTCTCTCACTCAACTCCGCCTCACATAATAATAACCAAGAAGATTGCCGTCTGGGGAGTTAGGTGGCCAGATATAAGGGATGATGTGGTTGGAGAAATTGTCTGACAACCATGTCTAGGTTCTCTTGTTTGTGTGACATGGTGCAGAGTCCTGTTACCAAACAGTGTGTCTTCCAACAGCCATCCTCTTGACCTGGGGCAGCACTATTTCCTCTACGTACTCTGTGTTGAGTCTGAGTCCCTCGTCCACAAATTCAGGAGATATTTTCTTATCAGAACGATCAGAGTGAGTTTTCCGAGCTGCAGTACCTTCGTAATCACCATTAGACTCATCCAACTTTTTCTGAATCCTTTGCACTTTCCTCGTATTGAGACCCCAAAACTCTGAAATGTTCGTATCGGAGCTTCCGGCACAAATGCCAAGGAGAACAGTAAGCCGTTTCCAAATATCTGGCAGGGTTATATAGCATCATAGTGCTCTTCTTCTCGTAGACGGTGCCCAACTGACCCTACTTTGCTTTGCAGTCAACAATATCAAAAACAATCAACGCGCATGCGCGAAATTAAAAATATAAGATTGCGACAATTTACCCATCGCACCCTCTATATGACGCACTGACGCACGCATATATGTGAGGCAAATGAATGATAAAGTAGAAAAATATTGTGTGACGCGGTTCATTCTCTGGAAGAATTTCATCGGAATATAGTATTTTTTTTTTCTGACGGAATTGTATATATTTAGATAAGAGAGGGGGAGATATAAAAATGCAAGCGTTGTTTATAATACCTGGACCGATAGGAAACGCGAAAGATGTTGGAATGCTGGAATTTTGATTTGTTTGTCGGGTGGAGCGTGTCTGAGCCTACAGCCAAGTGGATTTCATTCAGTTTCTTTCTGCTTTGGTTTTACTACTTTTATTATCTGCCAAGAAATGTGATATGTTATAAGAATCTAGAGACAAATTTGCTGTGGATGGTCTAGCGAGCAACGCATTTTCTAAACACTTGTGTCTTCGTAAATTGCTTTCTCTTTTACTTATTTCTTCTTCAAGTTTCAGCTTTTTATTTTGTTTGTATTCAGTCTCTTATTCTTTTGGAGGTAGCAGTAACAAATTTTGTGTTAAGCTTTTCACTTATATTTATGATAGAGTTGGTTGGTAGAGTCGTTGTTATGAATAATAAAAAGTGATCTCCCCTTGTTTAGTTACTCTCTTCTTTGAGAGAGCTATTTCAGTTTACTGGGACTATAAAAGGACACTATACGCGAACATTGTATTCTCAGTTGAATAAAGCTTTCTTAAATCCTACACCTAGGTACTTTTGTCATTACAGTCATATATCTCTATTCGTTGAACACACCGGACTGGTGAATTCTTTAATTTTGAAATATATTCCAATGCCGGATACTTAATAATAAATGTGATAAAATCAAAAGCAAGCAAAGGCAAAAGGAAACTGAATGAAACTAATACTACTACTAGTATATATTACTACTACAGTGTGTTGCAGCAAAATCCGACACATGACAAAAAGAAAACGAAATAGGCAATAAAAACAAAAGTTGTATATGCAGATAGCCGACAGTTTATTTAACAACAGTTAGAGTTACATACTACATTATTTTTCAATGTAACCGCCGCTGGGTGCGACGACCATCCCAAGGCGGGCGCGAAATGAGTCACACGCTTTGGTGACCATGTCCTTGTCGATAGCAGCGAACGCCTCCACGATGGCAGCCTTCAGAGAGTAGACCGTGTTGTAGGCGTGCTTGTTGGTCTTGGTCTCGATCACGCCCCAAAAGAAATAGTCAAGGGGGTTGCCGTCAGGTGAGGAGGGCGGTCACAACTCCGTCGACCAGTGGTGAGGAACATTGTTGTGCAGCCACGCCTGGTTTGTCTTGGCCTTGTGTACAGCGAGGGGGACGTCATGCCTCCATTCTTTCAAAAGGGCCTCAGAGTCATCGCTAAGATCTACCAGGAGCTGCTGAAGAGCGTTGTAAAGCCCTGGATGGACAAGATCGCCGCCAGACGCTCCTACGTCTTCCAGCAGGACTCCGCTCCAGCACACAAGGCCAAGACGCCGTTTTCTTTTTGTCAAGTGTCGGATTTTGCCGCAACACCCTGTACTAATAGTACTACTACTAATAATAATAATGATAAGAAAAAGAAAATTAGAAGAACTGTCTTACAAAAGCGCAACGATCTGTCTTCAAAGATACCTGGAAACTACAGTAGACTGAATGATGATGATCTGTGTCAAAGAACATGAAAGAAATACGAAACTTTATTCAGGAATAAAGGAAGTCAACAAATTCAAAAGCGAATTTCATGTTGGTGAAGTACAAATACAGCATAATGCACCTACTGCAGCGACAAAGAACCTACAAAAGAAAAGAAAAGCAATGTACCAAATGCATAAACGATGGCAAGATAAGCTTCTTTATTTTTAATACTCTGCCCGTACCAACAAGCTGATGTAGACAAAACCTGTACCCATTAGTGCAAGGTAAAAGCTGAAAACGAGAGTTTTATGCTTACTACAGAGTACCAAGGCTTACTAACTAGAAAGTACCAAATACGCATACTGAAAAATGGTGTTAACCCGAAATGCAGATTCTGTGATAAATATCCAGAAACAATTGACCATCTTGTGTCAGGTTGCGTAGTATTGGTACCCACCGGGCATGACAAAGTGGGCTAATATCTGTACTGAAAAATCTGCAACTTTTACGGGAAGGAAATCGAAAGAAACGGATTAGAACATCATCCATACCCGGTTTCTGAGATTAAAAAAAAAACTGTTACAATTTCATGGGGTTCACAATTTACATAGACAGAACAATCAAAGGTAATCGCCCAGATATCGTGATACGAAAATCACAAAAAACATTATGTACTTTCTTATTAAGATGGCAGTCCCTGCAGAGTGTAATGCATCTTTGAAGATCTTCAAAAAACTATCAAAATACAAGTATCTTGAAGTAGAAATCGAAAAAATGTAGCACGTGAGGACATCAATAATTGCAGTTGGATACCACGGATTGATTGGAAAAGGTTCCGATACACTAATCGAAGTGCTTCCTTGTAGCCCATGTCTTAAAGAAATTAAAAAGAAAATGTACTCACAAGTACATCTCACACATTACGAAGAGCTTTATGTGTGATCTTTGTTTTTCTTGGATTTTTTTCAAAAATAATCAGTGGGGAATATCTTAAAGACATTTTTACCTTAGCTCCCTTCTTGGAACTTGAAAGGAAATGTATATACAACAGAAATAATAATAATAATAATAATAATAATAATAATAATAATAATAATTCATTCCCTCTAATCCACCTATAATCTAAATATAACTCCACCCATCTTATGGTCAGGATGAGCTGTTTAGTCTTGGTCGACGGTCGTCCAAATACTGGTAACTTGAACAAAATTACCCCTTGGCATTCAAGGATAAAACGCAAAAAATTACATATCTCAATGATTACTATCAAATCTTCATACCGGATCGGCCGTCGCTTGGGTCAACTATGGCTGCGTACCTCAGAGAGGAACCAGTCTGTGGCCGAAAGATTTTCACTGGAACAAACTCTTCTCGCAACGAAGAGACACTTAGTTTCCAAACCCGGACTATTTCCAACCTTGGACCAAGTGACTCGATGCCAAATCAATTAATATAAAGAAAGCGTACGAAATTGTCACGCGAAGAGTATTAACTCGTCATGACATCCTTTTTCACTGCACTCGAAAATCCACGAGAGAACACCACGAATCAGATATACCAAATATGGAGAAGTATGACAGAAAATAACCAACCCAGATATGCTTGCCAATGTCCTCGCGGACATTCTGCCAAACAAAAGACTCTCAAATGCAGAAATAGATAAGATAAAACTAGATATAAAATAGAATACAATAACCCAGTAAAGACGTGTGCGTCGATATGAATAATATGACAAAGGATGAGGTAAAAACTAAAGTAAATAATAATCTTCCAGGAAATAAAACCGGAGAAACTTCCTGTGACATAACCTGCAGTCATCCAGTTATATGTCACTGAAGATGTGTCCAATTAAATTAGGGTAGAATTCTTTGAAAACCATAGAAGTGAAATCATTGAAGCGAAAACCACATCGTCCGAGTAATCAGTAGAGTAACTCGGACACAAATATCAGAAAGAGAGCGCCTCCCAACAATTCATACGACAAAATCCAATAAACATAATGTGCTTAATAATAATACAATACGACGCTGCACTGGAAAAATGTTAAACACTGGTAAACATCACAGAAGTTAACAATATCATATACGCAACAGCTTTACCAGCTACTGGGAAGCTTGGAGTCAAGACAATGAAAAGATTAAACAACAGACACAGAGAACCAGCTTGGAAGGCAAAATTGGTAAGAGAAATAAAGTTTGAGGAGAGATTTTTATACTGGAAATACTAGAAACGCAGATGTCTCAACACGCAAATGCAGGAAGATCTAGCGGAAATATAAAAATAAAATCACTAAACGAAATTCCATCAGTCAAGGAAATGCTAAAACAGAAACTGCAGTTAAAGGCTTAGCGAACAAGACGATACTAAAAAGGTTGTAGCTTCTATCGCCAAAATAAAATATTCCAAACGGATCTTAAGAAATTTTACAGGGAAATTAGAAAAGTATTTATACGCGTCAAAAAGCTACCACATGTAGACAAAGTGCAGGAATTTGGAGAGAATATTTAAAGCAGCCCAAAGGAATATAACCCCGAAATAACAAGGTGTCCAATTTCTGGCTCTATCATCTCTCATCAATCCATAAAACCCTTCCAATAACTCTATCAACGCTCATTAATAATCTCAATGAAATCCCGGAAGGGATCACTTGCGGTATTACATATCTCATGCCAAAAACAGACGACCAATAAATTATAGGTCAATAATATGTCTATCAACTACATATAAATTGATCATATCTCTCCTGACGAACCGTAATTACACTTTTCTCAAAACAAACAATATTCATCCACTGGAACAGAAGGGATGCCGGAGAGGTTCATAGGCTTGCAAAGTCAACTAATGATAAACTGTGGCACCATTTACCAGGACAAAAAGAAAAGAAAGGAAAAAGAGAAAAGAAAGAAAGAAAAAGAGAGGCGAGACTTAAGCTTAGATGATAAAAGAAGCCACCCACGACCGGAGACATTGACAATGTTATTTTGATAAGTAGCAAATGGCGAAAGGTTTCATTACCATTGCAGGAAAATTCTAAATGAATAACAAAATCGACTATGTTCTGGTGGCGAACTTGTGTTATCGGGGATAGATAACAGCCACTTAATGCTGGCGAACATCTAATTGACAAATTCCAGATCGGCTAGCTAAACTCCGGGAGAATATATAAACATTTAACTGTGTCACGGACTGCTGACCATCCACGAACTAAGGAAAACAAAAGGAAATAGGTTAAGTCTTCGTCGAGGGAAAGATATCGTTAGACAAGGTCTGGGTTTTGTTAAAATGTAGCGATAAGGGCGAAACAATATTATCGGAAGGGTTGGCCGTAATTGCTGGACGTCCACCCATTCTGATAATTGGCGAAAATCTGACTGACGAAGTCCAGATGAGAATTGAGGTTATCACACTACTGGTCGCATTGTTCTGTTGGCGGCCAGAGAAGATGAGAGCTGCGATTAAGGAAAGAAAAGGAAAAGAAAAAATTTTTTTTTTTTTTTGAGCAAGATGTATTTTTTTTCTTCTTAAAACAAAGCCAGCTGGATCACACACACCCGACTGGACACCATTGGCCGAATGATAACGAGGGCCAGGCGGAGGTGATCACGTGACGCAAGGAGGGAAGCCGCCGCCGCCCATTTAGAGGATAGGTATGAAAAGTTGCTACGAAGAAGTGGGGAGAACCGTTGACGCCCCTCTGAAGTATGGTGAGAATAAGAAAAGGTGGGAGTAAGAGAAGACTTCCAAAAATGGAAAGGAGTGGAAAATTCCTAATCAAAAATAAAAGAAGTGGATATGGATTTAGAATTATCAAGGAACCTCCAACCCCAACAAACCCACCCCGGTTTTGGTCGGCGTCCATATAAGCAAAGTCGCAGCGAGCGAGAATCAGTTCAGTTGAGTTGAGTTCAGTTCAGATGAGTTCAATCCAGAGTGTTCAGTTGAAGCAGGCCTCGCAGCTGACGAAGATTCGCGCAACTTCCGAACTCATCTTCAATCCAAGAACAATTTATTTTGAAGAGCGACTTAGATCCATACCACCAAAATAAGTTTTACGACTATCGCCTGAAGACACACCAAGAACCAATTTCTTAAAGAACAGACAACTTAAGATGTTAAAACTCGCCTAACAAAAACAACGTGTCACAATCCATATAGCGGGTCGGGAGATAGACGCAGTCCTATGTATCCAGCAACCAGATATAAAGTATTGTTATCCTTTTTTTGATACCTTGAAATTTTGAGTTATTATTTTATTTTCTTTTATGCATATTTGTGTGATATTACCCTCGTTTGAACTCAATTTGCATTACGGCCCCAACGACTGATTGATTTCGTCTGCCTAAGATCAATTCACAACGTGGGTAGGCGGACTGGAGATCAACGCAGTTACTTTGGTAACCAGACGTTGGAAGCGAGTTGGGAACGACGAGGCTGATATCGAATCTAACCAGATTCCCATCCGAATCACCAAAAGGTTAGAACGTCACATTTGGGTGCCTCGACTGATACCAAGCCAATTGGTCGTCACAGGACGGGACAACACGACTGACGCAAACAGGCGGACGTCACGTTTGGAGCGGCGACACCCGAACGAAGCAGCGAGGAGCGAGCGAAGGCTTGTGTTGAGGGACGTCACAAACAAAATGATCC